CCCCCCATGCAGTTTTATGAACACAAAAAAGGAGCTTTGGAGCAGAAAAGCTTTTATTTCTTATTTCAGATATAGATCTCTGTTTTGGGGGGTTCATAGAAATTCTGTTTCCCTTTACAAAAAGAGGGGAAGCGGCTCCCGGCGCTGGGGGGGGGGGCGCAGCTCCGTACAAAACTTGAATAGAAAAGAGAAGGACAAAAAAAAGCCGTTCTTTGGTTTGCGCTTCTTTGGGAGGAAATGAGCCCAAAATGAGGGGGGCGCCGGGGGGGCGTTACATAATGCTGCAGCCTTGCGGAGCCGGAGCCTGCGGGGAGAGACGGACAGACGGACAAAAGGGAGATGGGGGGACAGAAGGGACCGCGGGGGTGGGAGAAGGGACGGGAATGGGGGGGGGGGCGAGGAAGGGATTGGAGGGACGGGGGGACAAGGGACAGAAGGGACAGACGGACAGGAGGCGGGACAGGAGGGGTGGGAGAGGGACAGGTGAGGGGACAGACGGACAGGAGGTGGGACAGAAGGAAAAGCAGAGGGGACAGGAGGGACAGAAGGGACAAAAGAAGGGACAGGAGAGGGATGGGACAGGGGGACAAGGGACAGAAAGGACAGACGGACAGGAGATGGGACAGGAGGGACAAAAGGGACAGGAGAGGGGATGGGGGGTGGGAGAGGGACAGGTGAGGGGACAGAAGGAAAAGCAGAGGGGACAGGAGGGACAAAAGCAGGGGTAAAAGGGACAGGAATGGGGGGGAGGGATGGGAGGAGGGACAGGAGAAGGGGACAAAAGGGACGACAGAAGGGACAGAAGGGGCAAGAAAGGGACAGAAAAGGGACAGGAGAGGGATGAGAGGGACAGCAGAGGGGGCAGCAATGGGGACAGGAGGGACAGGAGGGGACAGATTGACCAGGAATGGGGACAGGAATGGGGACAACAGAGGGACGGGAGAGGGGACAGAGAGGGCAGGAGGGACAGGAGGGGGACAGAAGGGACAGAAGGGACAGAAGCGGATGCAGGGGGACAGGAGGGGACAGGAGGGGA